GATTTTGATAAATATTATTAGTTGAAAAGTAATGTTGATTTTTTAATAAAGAGAATTAATTTTGGTTTTTGTTAGAAAAATTTTTTGTATCTATATATATAAGTGAAAAAAATATTAAACCAAAGACCTTTCTCTATATAATTTTTAGTAACAAGGTATTTTAAGTCTTAAAGAATCCAATTAAGAGTCCTATCCTTATGTAGCTTGAATTTTTTCAATCAAACTCTTAAAGTTGGCTCATGTATAGCAAGACTAGAAATATAAAAGAAGTATTGTATAATATTGGTAGAGATAATTTTTTGTTTTGAAAAAGATAGATATTAGTATTGATCCAAGTAAGTGATAAGTTTGCTTTAGGAAAAATTTTTTGTTCTTGATAGTAATAAAGAAAGAAAAAAAGTTTCTTTAAAGAAAAGATAAATTAACAAAAGCCTTCAAAACTTGTTTTGTTAAAATTTCTTAAAAAAGAAGTTTTTTAACAATTGGAAGAAATGAAAAAGAGTTTTTTTTTGTCAATATCTATTTTAATTATTATTGAAAGATTATTTAAATAACTAAAAATCCAAGTTACTTATAATTGCTAATGTACTTACTTTTTATTATCTATATTAGTTAAACTAATTATTTTTATTAAAATAATAATATCTAAAAATATTTAAAGATACTTTCAGAAAAGTATTTTTTAAAACTTTCTACTTAAAGATTTATAATTAAAAAAGATATTGATTTTTTATTGTTAATTTTTCTTTCAAGTTATATCTTTTGAAATTATTGTTTTATTTAATCAATGAATAGTTTAAAGATTTCTTTATTTAATTATTTTTGAAATAAATATTATTACTTTAACTTTTTATTAAGACTTGAATCTTATAGTTACTTATTGTTCTCTAAAAAGAATATAAAAAAAAATAAAAAATAAACAAAAAAGAATTGTTTTTTCTTATTACCATATTATTTTTTTAATTTAAAAATTATTTAATTCTTTCAGGAACTTATTATATTATTAATTTGATATTATATAACTGAAATATATAAAAGAATATACAATATTTTATTTATTTTTATTTTATTTTTTTTTTTACTTGTAAAAGGGCATTAGATACAAAACTTTATTAATATATATATACGATACACGAATTACATCAAACATCTATACAAATTGACATATGTAAATTAATGTTAACCTATCTACAATGCAAACTATTACTACCCTTATTACACTTGATGTAATTTAGATTAGTCCTAGTGTTGGATGGTCAATGCCCTTCCAGAACTAATATAAAATCTTGGGACTTGAGCAGATTACTTGAACTTATGGATTGCGAGTCTGTCATATTAATGATATTTTGAAACAATTTAAGATTGGTTATAGAAGGCGATGATGGCTTTCCTTTTTTATTAAGGGGTCTAGTAGAGAATTTCGTCCATTTGATTCCTAAGGTGATAGAGGTATTAGCTGTTACTGATCTCAGAACCCAGATTAAAGTGTATAGGAGTTCCAAGGTCTTATTCATTAGTTTGGTATATTTATTATTTGACATCTGAATCTTTAAATCTATAATGTCACATGTCAACTTATCAAGATGTGACTTCCTGTCAAAGCTGAGGTTTAATATTGTTTCTGTCATTTTTGCTGTGATAGGTAAATTATACTTGTTTAAGAGTTTTTTAATTTTCGCTTTCAATTTAGTTATATTTTATTTATTTTTCTGTGACTGATATAATTAATTAATTTATAATCTTAATCAATTATTTTTCAGAAAATTTGATATAATAAAAAATTCAGAATTAAACTAAAGTAGACAAAATTTTTTAAAAAAAGAAAAAAAAGAAATATACTTAAAAAAAAAAAATTAAAAAGCTAAAGAAAAGATTGAAGTCTTTTTTTTTCTTATTTTTCTAAATTTTTAAATATTTTGAAAGTTTTTGGATAATGTTTTTTCTTGTTAGTTTTTTTTCTAGAAAGATATTTTTGCTATAAACCTCTTAAATAGCTTTCTTATATTTAGTAAATAAAAAAATATTTTGAAAAAAAAAATAAATTAGTAGTAGCTGCTGTATACTTTATTAGTTGAGAAAACCAATATTGTTAAAGAAATATATAAACTTTATTAATTATAAATATATAAAATCTTTTGAAAATATCTGTTTTTGGATTGAAAAAAGAATTAGTAGAAAGAGTTTAATTATATAATTATATATTTTTTTTTATTTCAAAAAATTTAAATATTATTAATATTGACCAGTGAATTAATAGTACAGTGGATAATACTTTTTGATCTTCAAATATATATATCTAGTTCAATACCTACAAAAGAAAAAATATATAAAAAATTATTTATTATTTGTGAATTTATTGATTTTTCTACAAATATTATATTTAAATATTCAGATCCTAATTAAATTTAGTTAGGCTATATAAAGATGGAACCTCTAATTTTTTTGATAATTGTAGGCTGAAACCAGGTTGAAGCAGAAAAGGTTATACAAAAAAAGGCTTCTGATTTAATTTTGATAAAAGTCCATAATCTTTTCTGGCATAGCAAATTTTATAGTATAAAGAATGCTCTAGCTTGAGACTATTCCAATCTAACATTTGCTTAAAAAAAAGAAACTGATAAAAAGAGAAATCTGAAGCTGCAGATGATAAAAAAAAGTACAGTATTTTTTTTTTGAGGTTTAGGTGAAAAGTATTAAACAAGTTATTTAGGTATTTTAATTAATCCTAAAAGGTATATGCTTCAAATAACAATTGTCAGGATCTAGATTATATTAAATAGTTTAAAACTAATAATAGATTTCTATTCCCTAAATATTCCATTTAGTGTATTTACCCATTTCAGTAGTAATAAATTGATATAACTAAGTAGAACTATAGATAGAAAAGCAGGTTAACTTAAATGAACCTTGTAATTATATAATTGAATATAAATAATTCAATAAAATACATGTGCTACAGTATTCTTTATCTGAAAAAAATATTATTAATATTATAAAAAATAAAAAAATTAAAAAATAATACTATTTTAATCTTATATAATTATTAAAAATAAATAATTAATCAATTAAAATATAAAATTATTTAATATAATTTTTTATGATTAATTATTTTTTATTTTGCTATTTAATTTAAAATTTATTTTTCAATAATAAAAACATTTAAATAATGTTTTTAATTTTGTATTTAAAATTTTACAAAATATTAAAAAACCCAATCAATTATAACAAAGTATATTTTTTAATTTCTTTTTTGATATAGTTTAGATGGTTATTTCGGTAAACTAGCATTTAACTTATGTAAGTTGAGGAATGTCTGTTTTTTTTTAAATGTATATTTTTATATACTGTAATAAGAATTAAAGTTTACCAATATATATATATACAGTATATACAGTATATATATATTATTTTTTATTTGTTTTTTAAAAGCAAAATTTATATTACTTTGATATAAATTAAAGACAATTATGTGTTTTAGTAATATTTAAAAAAAAAATCGATATTTTGAAATTTTTTATTTTAGAATATTTTTAATTACCATTGCAAAAATCCAACGTATACATAGTGATTTTCAATTTTACAATAATTTTAGGTGAGCCTTATTAAGAAGAATTATTTTTTCGCTTTTTTATATTATTGCTAATATTTGTTTTACAGTTGAATAAATAGAAATAAAATCTTTTAATGTTTATACGATTGAAGGAAAAAATAGAAGTAACCTTTAGTTTACAACATATAATAATAATTGTAAAAGTGTTTTTTTTAAAAAAAATTAACAAGATAAAATAGACATTGAGATTATTTATATAATTTAGATAATATTCTAATAAGAAAAATACTGATTTATAGAAAAAAGAATAAATATAATTTATGTAAAATCATTTATATGTATTTTTTTCAAAGATACGTTGATATGTGTATTTGATATATTTGTCTTATGTCTTTTCTTTTCATATATCTACGTGAAATGAGTACTTTATTTTGCAGGAATATTCTACCGTAACATTCTATTATCATTCGAAAACCAAGATTCTAATTTTTTTAATATGCCTATCGTATTTGTATGATTACTTTTTTTGTACTAAAGTAGAACTGTATATCAGCTACACAACATTACCGATTAAATTTTTATAACAAAATTGAACTAAAACTCCGTCGAATGTGTTGAAGCAAACAAAATGATTAGGATTGGAGACAATAAGCACAAATGGAACAATCTTTAAGAACAGAAAAATCAATGAATTTTTAAAAAGTATCTATGGCAAATAGATAATCACCCAAATGTTATATATTCTACCGGTATTCACGCGGTCTCGTAAAGTTCTAATTTTTGGTTTTTCCTCGATATATAATTTCTGTCAATTTCGATGAATAATATTGACCTTTCCAACGGCGAAAACAAGCAGTTAAACTACACGGAGAAAGTAACAAATTTTTTATTTATTATATTTGAACAAAAAAAATTACAGTATAAGGAGGAAATAAAAAAATGTTAGCTATTTTAAGTGGAATAAAAGAGTGATGAGTTTTTCGTTTGGGTGAACATATCCATGAATTTTTTTTTTGTCGTCTATTTACATCTGATATAAAGGATGGTTCGCAGTCTTTAGTACAAATTTTCATTAAACTTTTAAGAAGCGAGGAAAATCATAGATTCACATATTTTCGTTTTGATGAACATGGTCATGCATCTTTTTTTCGTGACGTCGTCTATTTTGTTCTAACGTAAAGGATGTTTTGCAGTTTTTATATCGGCAGTACACTAGAGAAGAAACCAAATTTCGTTAAACTTTTAAGACGGCTCTTAATCAATGAGGAACTAATCATAGACTCACCACGTTTTTCACCGGAATGAGACTTTATGTGATTTTCTAACTGGCTCCGATACTTGAACAATTTTCTGCATTTAAGACATATGCGTTTCTGAACGAGTTTACGGATATTTATCATATTTAAGACTTCTTTGTCAATAAAACGGACAGAGGTAAGTTTGTTACTTTCTTCAATACGGTAAACCACATAATATTGATTTAACAAGTTTAAGCTGATGTGACCCGTGTTTTCGGATGCGCCCAGTAAGCTCAAGCTTTCTCCAATGTGGCCCGCGCCCAACGAGCTCAAGCTTTCTCCAA